TTACTTGTAGGAGTGATTTCGAGTGATGTAAATGTTACACAGCTAATTCGAGTGATTTTGAGGTTTGATGTATCAGTAAAAGCTCAAGGCAGTAAGCCGAGATCGTGTTGGGGGGTCGGGAACCACCTCTAGATATCAAAAATCAAGAGAAAAGCCGGACTCTAAGAATTTTCCACATCCGTGGTGTGTGGGGCAGCGCATGGGGCACCGTGCCTATACATTTCTACTGCCTATTGAATTTGCATGTTCCGTGATAAACCCCACTACCAGACCGCGTGGCGCGTCGGCCCAAATGGAGCGCATGTGCATTTTTTATAGTGTAACAATCCAATTTCGGCTAGGAGAAGGTTGTTCCCTGAGCCTGTAATCTTGTTTCTCTTGCAATTACATTACAAGCCTTACCCATTTGTTTGAATTGACCATCTATTTGACCGTTGTACCTGTCACTACCACTTGAAATTTTTATGAACTTGGTAAAAGTTAAAGTGTGGGGTGGTTGGTTTGGCTTTTGAGTGGAAAATGAAATAAGGAGAAAGATGCGCTGTTTTGAAAAGGTAAGAGCCATTTGAATTGAAATAAAAAGAAAGCATTAGTTGTATTGTTGTGAAAAATATTCATTGATAAGTGGTAACTCTTGATGTAATTGTGCTTAAAGGAATAGGGAGTTAATAAATATTGATGTGAAGGTGAAGTTATGGTTTGACATAAGTGTGGGGTTTTGAACGATTAATTGTATGTATTAAAGTGCTTAGAGAGGTGTAGTCACTCTTATATCTAAATGTATCCTACCCATCCCGCATCCTACATTACAACAAATTAAAGTCCTACATGATCCTTGACTGAATGATCTCAATTAGTAGAGTAGTACACTACAAGCAAGCCTATGGTGCATCTTTTACTAATACGTCAAAGCTCAAAATCACTCGAATTAGCTGTGTAACATTTACATCACTCGGAATCACTCCTACAAGGCCCAAAACATACAATAAGTGTAAAACACTACCGATTAAAGCACAAACACATTTAATGCAAAACACTAGCGATTAAAGCTCAAACACAATTAAAGTACAGTAAATTAGAGTGAAATAAGCTACTAAAACATGTAATAATAGCCTACCATCAACACCCCACAATTAAACCATAGCTCGTCCTCGAGCAATCAAACTACACTTTATAGAGACAATCTTATTAAACAATTCTCCTAACTCATCACACCAAGAATATTTAAAAAAGACTAAGAACTCTAACGTAACATCCTTGCCTCAAATTTGACTCTAAAGCACCACGCATTATTCATAACTCGCTAAATTACTCTAACATATAGGTCAACAACATTACCTTTCCTTCAAGAATCAAGTGCCCTCACACAATAATAGAGAGTAGTTTCACACACAACAAAAGTTAAGAACAATTAGAAACTCAAGATAGAAAGAATTCACTCGCTCTCAGAAACAACATTCATATGCCACAAAGGATCGACCATAGGCAAACCTATGGTGCATCTTTTGTAACATATGAATGTAGTTTCTGAGAACGAGTGTGGAACTACTCTCTATTATTGTACGAGGGCACTTGATTCATGAAGGAAAGGTAATGTTGTTGACCTCTATGTTAGAGTAATTTAGCAAGTTATGAATAATGTGTGGTTCTTTAGAGTCAAATTTGAGGCAAGGATGTTACGTTAGAGTGATTAGTCTATCTTAAATATTCTTGGTGTGATGAGTTAGGAGAGTCTTTTAATAAGGCCGTCTCAATAAAGTGTAGTTTGATTGCTCGAGGACGAGCTGTGGTTTAATTGTGGGGTGTTGATGGTATGCTATTATTATATGTTTTAGTCGTTTATTTCACTCTAATTTACTGCACTTTAAATGTCTTTGAGCTATAATCGCTAGTGTTTTGCACTTATTCTGTGTTTTATTACTTGCAGGAGTGATTTCGAGTGATGTAAATGTTACACAGCTAATTCGAGTGATTTTGAGCTTTGACATATTAGTAAAATCTCAAGGGAGTAAGCCGGGATCGTGTTGGCGGGTCGAGAACCACCTCTAGATATCAAAAATCAAGAGAAAAGCCGGACTATGAGAATTTTCCACATCAGTGGTGTGTGGGGCAGCGCATGGGGTGCCGTGCCTGTACATTTCTACTGCCTATTGAATTTGCATGTTCCGTGATAAACCCCACTACCAGACCGCGCGGCGCATCGGCCCAGACGGAGCACATGTGCATTTTTTATAGAGTAACAATCCAATTTCGGCTAGGAGAAGTTGGTTCCCTGAGCCTGTAATCTTGTTTCTTTTGCAACCACATTACAAGCCTTACCCATTTGTCTGAATTGACCATCTATTTGAACGTTATACCTGTCACTACCATTTGAAATTGTTATGAACTTGGTAAAAGTTAAAGTGTGGGGCGGTTGGTTTGGCTTTTGAGTGTAAAATGAAATAAGGAGAAAGATGCACTGATTTGAAAAGATAAGAGCCATTTGAATTGAAATAGAAAGAAAACATTAGTTGTATTGTTGTGAAAAATATTCATTGATAAGTGGTAACTCTTGATGTAATTGTGCTTAAAGGAGTAGGGAGTCAATATATATTGATGTGAAGGTGAAGTTATGGTTTGACATAAGTGTGGGGTTTTGAACGATTAATTGTATGTATTAAAGTGCTTAGAGAGGTGTAGTCACTCTTATATCTAAATGTATCCTACCCATCCCGCATCCTACATTACAACAAATTAAAGTCCTACATGATCCTTGATTGAATGACCTCAATTAGTAGAGTAGTACACTACGGGCAAGCCTATGGTGCATCTTTTACTGATACGTCAAAGCTCAAAATCACTTGAATTAGCTGTGTAACATTTACATCACTCGGAACCACTTCTACAAGCCATAAAGCACACAATAAGTACAAAACACTAGCAATTAAAGCTCAAACACATTTAATGCAAAACACTAGCGGTTAAAGCTCAATCATAATTAAAGTACAGTAAATTAGAGTGAAATAAGCGACTAAAACATGTGATAATAGCCTACCATCAACATCCCACAATTAAACCATAGATCGTCCTCGAGCAATCAAACTACACTTTATAGAGACGACCTTATTAAAAGACTCTCCAAACTCATCACACCAAGAATATTTCAAATAGAATAAGCACTCTAACGTAACATCCCTGCCTCAAAATTTGACTCTAAAGCACCATGCATTATTCATAACTCTCTAACTTACTCTAATAACCTTTTTAAACAATTCTCCTAACTCGTCACACCAACAGTATTTAAAATAGACTAAGCACAAGAGTGTAACATCTTCACCTCAAGATTTGACTCACAAGTACCACGCATTATTCACAACTCACTCACCCGCTCTAACATAGAGGTCAATGACATTCCCTTTCCTTCATGAATCAAGTGCCCTCACACAACAAAAGAGAGTAATTCCACACACAATAAAATTTATGTACAATTAGGAACTCAAGATAGAAAGAATTCACTCACTCTAAGAAATAACATTTATATGCCACAAAAGATGCACCATAGGCTTGCCCGTATTGTACTACTCGAGCTCATTCAGTCTAGGATCAAGTAGGACTTTAATTAGTTGTAATGTGGGCTGCGGGACGGGTAGGGTATTTTTAATATAAAAGTGACTACACCTCCCTAAGTATTTTAATACATACACTTTAACATTTAAAACCCCACACTTATGTCAAACCATAACTCCACCTTCACATCAATATATATTAACTCCATACTTCTTTAAGTACAATTACATCAAGAGTCACCACTACCAAGGAATATTTTTCATAGCAATATTCAATTTCTGTGGCTCTTACTTTGTCAAAATATAGCACATTTCTCCTTATTTCATTAGTTCCACTCAAAAGCCAAACTAACCACCCCACACTTTAACGTTAACAAAGTTCATTACAATTCAAATGCTCATGAGAGGTAGGTTCAAATAGAAGTCTAATTTAAACAAATGGGTAAGGCTTGTAATGTAGTTGCCAAAGAAACATGATTATATGCTCAAAGGGGTTAACAACGATACATAACATTTAAGCTAGTAAAACATATAACTTGTTCAACAAATAAATGCCTATATCACTTCCAAGACATGCACATAACTCACTCAGTATTGGACTCATCAAGACACTCTAGTCAAAGCCGTTAAGCAATGTTACGATCATACAATTTAAGGTACTTATACAAGTGTCAAGAACTTAGCCTAAGCATCACAACCAAAGTACTCACTGTTCTCAAGGCATAACCAAGTCAAGATATATTTCTTAAATTCCAATCATAGCACAATGGCTCCTACTTATAAAAAAATAAAACTAACTACACCCGGTTCAAACAAAACCCTTGGAAAAGAACCGCGGCACAAAGAAAAACAAACGGGTAATTATTACTCTACCTACAAAATAATCTTTTTGTCCTTTTTATTTCGACTTAAATCCCTCAAGAAAACTGTCTAGGAGATCCATCATCGAGAAAAGTCCTTTTTTTTCTTTTTTTTTTGGGAGCTACTATAATACTATACAACTACGAAAACAAAAATAAGAAGTTAACATTTTTCTAACATACTACTACTAATTATCTAAATAATTTCTCCAAATCCACACTTAGAGTAGTGCAGTGTCCCCTATGTAGAAATAAAGCAAACAATAACAAGGGTGGACAAGAAACTCCCTGAAAGGCTAAAGGCTGAAGCAATTACGGCTCACGAGGTACTCAGACTTCCCTCAGTCATGGTCCTGTGTGTGGGCACCCCACGCTTAGTTCTCACCATCTAGCTCGCTTTTGCTCTCTTCCAATGGCTTTGCTTCCTATGCTTATAATCCTACAAAGTAAAAACAAGCACTACAAAAATAATATAATAAAAATAAAAATAAAAGAAAGCAGTAAAGGTGGGTTGCCTCCCAACAATCGACCTTATTTAACGTCGCAGCACGACACAAAATCTCGTCTTATCATTGGCAAGTAACACCTTCAACTTCTAACAATCAAAGTCATCTCCGTAATAGTGCTTCACTCTTTGTCCGTTCACTAAGAACGTTCTCTCGCCATCTAAGATGTGCAGCTCAATTGCACCATGTGGAGTGACTCCTACTATCTCAAATGGGCCCAACCATCTCGATTTGAGCTTCCTCGAAAAGAGTCTCAACCTACAATTGAACAAGAGAAACAATTGGTTCGGTTCGAAATCGCGATGGCAGAAATGATTATCATGCCAGCGCTTGGTCTATTCTTTATTCAACTTGGCATTCTCATACGCGTGCAAGTGAAACTCATCAAGCTCGTTCAATTGCCTCAACCATTTTCTACCTGCTAATTCTTCATCAAAGTTCAGCTTCTTTATCACCCAATAGGCCTTGTGCTCAAGTTCCACCGGTAAATGGCATGCCTTCCCATAAACCAGCTTGTAAGGGGAGGTTCCGAATGGAGTTTTGTAGGTGGTCCGGTATGCCCATAGAGCATCATCAAGCTTTGCAGCCCAATCTTTCCTACTTGCACTAACCGTCTTCTTCAAAATCTGCTTTATCTCTCTATTTGACATTTCAACTTGTCCACTAGTCTGAGGTTAGTAAGAGGTCCCAACCTTATGTTTGACCCCGTATTTCGCTAAGACATTGTCCAATAGCTTGTTATAGAAATGGGTGCCCCCATCACTTATCATCACTCTCGGGGTGCCAAACCTTGTAAATATATGTTTTTTTCACAAAGTTGACTATGACATTGGCATCATTGGTAGGAAGAGCAATGGCCTCCGCCCACTTCGACACATAGTCAACGGCCACCAAAATGTACATACACCCATTGGACGAGGGAAACAGACCCATAAATCAATTTTCCATACATCAAAAATTTCAACCTCCATATTTTCACCCGCATGATGACGACCATAAGGCAACGCATGACAGTCATGTTAGATAGAATTTATTTTAGATTCAGGCACACATCTTCTCATTAGCTGATCAATACAAGATTTGAACTGAAACATCTCATCCCACACATATGATCTCACATATCGTATGAACTTCTTTTTAGCATGAGGTTCATGATCAAGTGGAATTTCTCCACTTGCCAGATAGTTTACAAAATCTGCATACCATGGCACCTCCCCAGCAGTAACGGCCAATAATTGCTCATCTGGGAAAGTGTCCTTGATGACCTCTCCCTCAGCTACATGATTCCGAGTTTCTAACCTGGACAAATGATCAGCCACTTGATCTCTGTTCCTTTACGATCTTGGATCTCCAAATCAAATTCCTGCAAGAGTAAAACCCAACAGATTAGCCTTGGTTTATCATATTTCTTTTTAAAAAAATACCTAATGGCTGCATGGTTTGTGTAGACGATGACTTTGATGCCAACCAAATAGGCCCAAAATTTATCGAACGCCCACACTACAACAAGCAACTCCTTTTTTGTCATAGTATAATTTATTTGAGCAGGAGTGAGAGTCTTGTTTGCATAGTAAGTGGTGTGAAGTATTTTGCTCCTCCTCTAGCCCAGTTGCACCATCACTAACGTCACACATCAGCTCAAATGGCTCGTTCCAATCAGGAGCCACTATGATTGGTTCACTCACTAACTTCTTATTCAGCACCTCGAATGCTTTCAGACAAGCACCGTCAAACTTGAACGACACATCCTTCTCTAACAACCTGAACAAAGGAGAGGAAACTTTTGAGAAATCCTTTATAAGTCGACGATAAAAACCTGCATGTCCCAGAAAACTCCCAACTCCTTTCACTGAAATCAGTAGTGGCAACTTTTGAATTTCTTCCACCTTAGCCTTGTCAACTTCAGTTCATCTTTGGACACCTTGTGCCCCGGTATTATACCTTCACCTACCATAAAATGCCACTTTTCCCGATTCAATACCAGATTAGTCTCCTCGCACATGGCAAGCACTTTAGAAAGATTGGTCAAGCATTCATAAAAGGAAGGACCAAACAAAGAAAAATCATCCATAAAGTCCTCCACAAACCATTCCACCATATCGGTGAAAATAGCCATCACACACCTTTGAAAATTCGTAGGTGCATTACACAACTCGAATGGCATTATCTTAAATGCATAAGTGCCATAAGGGCATGTAAAAGTGGTCTTTTCTTGATCTTCCGGGGCAATAGGAATCTGATTATACCCCGAATAGCCGTTAAGGAAACAATAGTATTCCTAACCGGCTAACATGTCAAGCATTTGATCAATAAAGGGCAGAGGGAAGTGATCTTTTCGTGTAGCATTTTTCAACTTCCTATAATCTATGCATATTCGCCAACCACTCACAGTCCTAGTTCGGATTAATTCAATTTGTTCATTCACTACAACAGTCATACCCCTTTCTTTAGGTATACATTGAACAAGGCTTACCCACTTACTATCGGAGATAGGAAATACTATACCTGGGTCGAGCCACTTAATCACTTCTTTTCTTACCACCTATTTCATGATTGGATTTAGGTGGCATTAATGTTCCATGCTAGGCTTGTGTCCCTCCTCCATGAGTATTTTGTGCATGCAGAATGCAGGGCTAATACCCTTTATGTCAGACGTTGTCCAACCAATGGCATGCTTGTGCTCAATCAGCATCGTTAAGATCTTTTCTTCCTGTAATTTAGACAAATGAGAAGAACCGATCACAGGTAAAATGTTAGAACTTCCCAAATATGCATAATGAAGACGAGATGGTAATGATTTAAGTTCCAGTTTTGGGGCCTCCTCAACTTAGGGTTTAGGGGGTAAGCCGATTGGCCTATCCAAATGCTCAAATTGGGATTTTTCTCTTATGTATTCGCAAGAGGCATCCAGAACTTGCAACATCTCCTCAACCTATTATTCAAGTTCCAAGTGACTGAACAACATCAATGACTTTTCTAGTGCATCTTCTTTAAATGCACTTGACTCTACAACTGGTTCATTTATCTCCACTATAGAAATCATGGCTAGGTCCTCGTAATGACAAGGTAACTGAATGGATCGATATACATTGAAGACTGCTTCTTCATTGTCCACCCTCATGATCATCTTACCTTCTCGTACTTTGATAATTGCATCTCTAGTGGCCAAGAGAGGTCGTCCCAAGATGATAGGAACTAACTTATCACCCTCGTAATCCAGGGTGATAAAATCTGCACGGAAAATAAACTTTCCAATATGTACCAAGACATCCTCAATTACCCTCGCAAGATAACCATAAGATCTATCAGCTAACTATAGCATCACCGTGGTGTGTCTCGGAGCTCCTAACTATGCACCCAAATCACACAAGGCTCTACTCACATCAATTTCACCAATCCTTACGGGGGTGGTAAAACTACCCGGATCCTTAAGCTTTTATGGAAGCTTATGTTAAATCCTGGAAGTGCACTCCTCAGTAAGTGCGATGGTCTCAAACGCAGTTAACCACATTTTATTTGCCATTATATGCTTAATATATTTTGTATATTTTGGGACCTGATGGAGCATGTCCACCAAAGGGATGTTCAAGTGTATCTGCTTTTGCATATCTAGAAATTTGAGGAACGTGTGGTCATCATTATTCTTTCTCAATCTTTGAGGAAAAGGGGGTGGCACCCTCTTTGATATATACCCAGACTCTGTTTTGTTTCTCTCATCTACCTCTATAGGTTTTGGTACTCTTTCTTCTTCGAGCCCAGACTGCTCCCTTTTCTTCTAAGGCACTTCTACCAACTCTCTCCCATTTCTCAATGTCACTGCATTGACTTGAGGATTTTTCTCGCTATTGGTAAGAAGAGCTCCAGCAGGTCTAATATTATGATATTTAGCCATTTGCCCAAACTGCCTCTATAATGACCTGGCCGGTCATTTTGAGAGTTATAACGTTGATCCCCTATTAACTGCTTCTTCCATATATATTCCTTTTATTGTGACTTGCCGAGAGGATTCGTTCTGGTTTTTGGAGTATTTTGGGACACTTAGTCCCTAAATGGAGGTTTAAACCTTAGAATTTGGACCATAGTCGGAACTATGTGAAGCCAACTCCGTAATGGAATTCCGTCATTTCCGTTATCTCCGTTAGGTGATTTTGGACATAGGGGCGTGTCCGGATAGTGTTTTTGAGTTTTGTAGCTCATTTTGGTTTGAAATGGCGAAAGTCAAAATTTTGGAGAATGGGACCGGTAGTGTAATTTTTGATATCGGGGTCAGATTCTGATTCTAGAAGCTGGAGTAGGCCCGCAGTATTAAATATGACACGTGTGCAAAATTTGGGGTCAATCGGATGTGGTTTGGTTGGTTTCAGCATTGGTTGTCGAATTTGGAAGTTTCAAGTTCTTTAAGTTTGAATCGGATGATGATTCGTGATTTTCGCATTATTGAGTTATTTTGAGGACTCGACTAGGTTCGTATGGTGTTTTAAGATTGGTTGGTATGTTTGGTTTAGGTCCCGGGGCCTTGGGTGAGTTTCGGGTGCTTAATGGATCAAAAGTTGGATTTGTGTTGTTGCTGACGTCTTCAGGCATCTGCTGTTTTTGCACTTGCGGCGGGGAGACCACAGGTGCAGGATCGCACGTGTGGCGCATAAAACACAGAAGCGGAGACTAGAAGAGTGGTCAGGTATCACAGGTGCGAGGTGAATTCCACATCCGCGATGCTCGCAGATGCAAGAGAGAGATCGCAGGCGGGGTGAAGGACCGCTAAAGCGAACAGTGCTCCGCAGGCGCACATGCGTAGGTGCGGCCCCCTTGCCATAGATGCGGTCCCAGCCCCTTTAGTGATTTTTCTCTCCTCTGATGTTATTTCCGTAGGTGCGGTTGAAGGCTCGAAGGTGTGAGTTTACTGGCAGAAAAGACCTAAGTGCGAGGGTTTGATTTCATTCTTAATGTTTGGACTTGAGAGCTCGGAATTTGGCAATTTTTCGAGGGATTTTCAGAGGAAAATTTGGGTAATGAATCCTAACTCCTTTTTGGTTATATTGCTCTAATCTATGGTTGATTTCATCATCTACTTAAGAAATTTGGGGGAAAATGATAGAAGTTCTTCAACTAAGATATTGGTCTTTGATTGGGATTTTGACATCGGATTTGGCTGATTTTTGTGCAAGTGAACTCGTGATTGAATGGGTGTTCATATTTTGTGACTTTTACCTGATTCCAAGACATGGGCCCGGGGAGACGTTTTGGGGCGATTTTCTAATTTCTTGCTTTAGCTTTGATTTCAGTGGCTAGATTAGTTCCTTGAAGTTATATTTATGATATGTTATTGATTTTGGCTAGATTTGGGTCATTCAGAGTCGGATTTTCATGGAAAGAGCATTGTTACGGTTTGATTGAGCTTGGTTCAAGGTAAGTGGCTTGCCTAACCTTGTGTGGGGGAAATGCCCTTAGGATTTGGTGTTGTTATAATATGTGAGCCCCGTGTACGCGAGGTGACGAGTGCGTACACTGGCTATTTGTGGAAAAGCCTGATTTTTACCGAGTAATAGCCTATTTTCATCTTATGTGAGTATACGAGCAGTTGTAGTTATACTGTTAGCCTAGAATAGCATGTCTGCGTGTCTTAATTGCTTATTTGAACTCTTTGTAGGATGTTTAGTAAATCCTGCTGCTTTCTTGACTTGTACTTAGTCTAAATTGTAGGTTTTCTTGCTGTAAGTATCATATTCATTCATTTGAGCTACATATTTACTTTGGGGCTACGAAACGGTATCCAGAAATATCCCCTTGCATATTTACTTTTGAGACTATGATGCAGTTCCTCGGGGGTTCTCCCTGCACATTTACTTTTGAGACTACTAGGCGGTTCCTTGAGAGTTCTCCCTGCATATTTACTTTTCAGATAACGAGGCGGTACCTCGAGATATCTCCTTGCACTTTTATTTTGGGACTACAAGACGGTATCTCCGGAGATCCCCTGCTGTTTATCCTTGTGTTTTGCGTTGCTACTTTGATATGTTCTCTTGTTTAAATTTCAGTCTCTTATTATATTTTTATACTCTCCTGCTTATTTATTATATACCAGTAGGGCCTTGACCTGACCTCGTCACTACTCAACCGAGGTTAGGCTTGGCACTTACTGGTTACCTCTGTGGTGTACTCACTGTCACGCCCCAACATCGGGGAGCGCAACCGGCACTCAACCGAGTGAACCCGGTCGAGCAAGCCTATTAAACCTTTCCTACCCGACTCATTCATAACCCAAAAAGGGATCGCATCACCATTTGTAAAATCATGGAGAGATCAGTTATATAAATATATAAACGTTGCTAGTTCATTTTCCTTATATACATTATGCCATAGTTGAGTTTCCAAAATACAACTCGGTCCAACGACCGCCCCAACATACATACATGACCCACAAAAACGTCTACGGAGCCTCTAAGGATAAAAAAGAGCAACATGACAATGCCGGCAACAAGGCCCCGGCTATACCTCAAAATGTGAAAACTTATACAAAAGAAGGACCACATGACCCCTGGGAGAAAGTGGGTTCACCAAGACTACTGTGAGGAGAGAAAGAGAGCACCACTATCTGCGATGAAACCACCTACATCCATTCAAAGATGTAGCGCTCCCAGAAAAAGGGACGTTAGTACTGTCAAATAGTACTAGTATGTAAGGCAAACACCAATCTTAGTAGAATGAACAATGAAACAAAGAGAAGGCAGTCATAATAATCAATAAGTACTTCATAGAAATACAAAGAAAACACCGATTAAGGATTACATAGTTTCCAATTCAATCTTTCCATCTTCTTAGATTAATAATCTTTAGTGCCAAAGCCACAACTTACAATGCCACCGTATTTTTACATGGAGTCCGGTCTCGGCCCGACCGGCTAAGCCATCTCAAGTGAGACATATCCATATCCACAATGTAATTCAATAATTCCAATACAAATGCCACCATGTGTACAGAATGACGTCTGATCTCGGCCCGATCGGCTAAGCCATCTCACTTGAGACATAACCTCTTTCAACTGTCCACTCAATTCACATTTCTTTCCCATCTCCATTACATGGCACAAACAACCTCATT